TTTAGATTCGAATACAATACGGACTTAGAAACATTAACACTGCAAATTGAGAATACTGATGGGTCTTCTCATAAAAATTACTTTGACATGGATGATGATGATGACGTGGATAAAATAGAAAAATAAAAAAACATTTACAATCATCACATTTACCTTTGTAGAGTGTCTACAAAAAAAAATGTAGAGCAAAAATGCATTCACATTTCTCAAAATTTGTGCTTCCTCTGATAAAAATGGAAGAAAAATAAAAAAATATGAGAAATAACATATCAAGCTTATACTACATAAATAATAATAATAAAGAATGTAGCAACTTTTCCGTGTTTTCCACTGACTTTTCGCATTTTATGAGAAAACTCAAAGGTATAAGCATATAAGACCTACTATTTTCAATATTATAGTTCAAACACCGTCTAAGAAAAACAAATATAACACTAATCAAAGTGTAATGAATCAAAACTAACATGCGGGAAACTCAAAATTAAAGGATGATAATGAAAATAACAACCAGGGCCATAATGATTAACACAATCCACGCATAAATATGAAGGGAGGGAAGGGAGAAGTATAATGACTTCTTTTGAACTGAATCCCCGCTACAAAAGGTGTCCTTTTTTTTTGTGTATGTGTGTGCGTGGGAGAAAGTCAATACCGGTACCCAGGCTGAGAAGGCGTGGGGAAGTTCATCGGGGGCGGGACCCCACCACAGGCCGGGTTCTGAGAATGCGGCGCGGGCGGGAAGGGCGACCCGGGTGGGAAAGGCGGCCCAGGGGGGAAGGGCGGCCCGGGAGGGAAGGACGTCCCGGGTGGGAAAGGCGCCCCGGGGGGGAAGGGCTGCCCGGGCGGAAATGGCGGCGCGAATGGATCGGACGAAGGCTGGAGCATCGGCGGACAAGGATATTGAGGCGGGTGTGTAGTGTTCCCCATCGGAAAGGCCGAGGGATAGGGATCGGATTGGGCCGGTGGGTTCTCTTCGCCTGGATGCCACGTCTCGCTCTCGATGGCATGCTGTACGGGATCGTGGTTGATATCTGTCGTGACCATCCACTCGTTTCCGAAAGTCGGCCGAATACCAAAGTCCACTGCCAACATTCGTAGCCGAATCTCGGCAAGGGTTTTGGACTTTTCGAGGATATACCACTCATCCTTCACAATGCCTTGGGTCAGTCCAGAGAGCGAGATGTCGTAGTATCCCAAATGACTATCGCTGAAGATCCCTTTGTTCCACACCTCCAGCTGAATCTGCTCGCTGTGCTCATCAGCGATCTGAAAGCGAAAGGTCTCGTTCCACACCGGGTTAAGGGTGTCCTTGGCGGAAGCCGTTTTATACTTCTTGTCATTACAAATAATACGTACAAATGGATCTGGGACACCCACTAACTGCTTATTTTCTAAGCCTCGGGCCTCCACCACGGTGATCTCGATCTTTCCCATGTCAAACCTGTGTGTGTGTGTGTTTGAGGGAGATGAAGAGAGGTGTTATATATCCGGTTGATGATTGATGCGTTTGTTCGAGGTTATACTTTTTTTTTTAAAGGGGTTTATAATTTAAGGTGGGAAAGAGAAGGTGATAATAAAGTTATAAAACGGTATCTGACTTACCGAAGAGGAAGCATCTTCACGACAAAAGTCGACTACAATAACATCAACAATCTCATCACCCCAAAGGATGAGGAGAAAAACAAAGCTTTGGGTAAACGATCCTGCATGTATTTAGAAAATTTGAAAACACAGAAGCATCGAATCAAACTACCATCCGTTCTCTCGCACACACCGAAGGGGTAAAGGAAACAGCCCTTCAGAATACGAAACACCCCCAAAGCCTATGACATGCTAATGCTGTGGGTAGGAAGAAAGGATGCCGTTTGAGATTCCATAAGGACTGCCACTGCCACCCTCAGCAACACTAGGACCAGACCCCATCGCGCCATAGGGCCCCATGTAGTGGTCCAGCGCATCGTTTACAGGGTTTGGAAGCCCCAGATACGCCAGCGGTGGGGTTGGAAACACCGCGGGTCGTTCCCCTTCCCGCTCCCCGGGGT